TTTACCAAAATTACAGCCTATTTGTACAATGGATACCTTAATGTACAGTCAAACCTTAATATCTTGAACTTTATAATAGGGGCTGAATTTTTACCAGATTTTTGATTTTCCACAAAATGAGACATGAAGGTGAAAATATAAAAGTAAGTAGTCGGGACCTCAAACTACTTTTCATATCCATGTACCCTGGTATTTGAGATATAAATGTTCAAGATACCAAAGTTTACCTGTACTTTTCTGTGCAGAGATTTGATAACTTTACCTGAGAATGGCATCACTGTAACCAGAGATGTAGATATCATTATCATGCTCAGGTTTGATAGACTGAGAGAAACTGAAAGTAAACCAAATAGAGATACATATATCTTTTACCATTTACATGGATGAACAAACATGTATTTATATTGAAATCAATTGTTTTGCACAAAATATAAATGATTCTTTAGAATTGTAGTTTAAATAAAATGTTAAGCAAAATCTACAGGGTGGTCAGGTCTCATAGTATTTCTTAATTTGCTCATCTCATTTATTAATCATTTTCAGTGAAACAGAAATCAAAATAAAGAAGCACTGATGGAGACAATGCGCCTACTCACCCACAGCCTTTCCCTGCAAAGGAGATGTTGACATAGAGAAGGTTAGGGTTGACAATCTGTCGATACTTCTTCAGGAAGTTAGAGAGAATTTTCTGCTGAGTCGCTGCAAGATCTCCTCCGGAAAGGATGACGATGTTATCCACCTATAGCAGAGTAGATACTGTGATGTTACTTCAATATAAGTTATTGTTTTATATATCAGTTTCATGGACTCTTTACAGAACAAACCCTGGAAAAGCCACTGAGGTCTTGATAGTGTAAAAAATGACAGATAATTACAGGCAGACAGACAAAGTGATGGGGAGTGACAGAAAAATATAGACAGATGGACAAAGTGATTACTACATTATGATGCTATAATCTCACTACATTTTTAAAGTTGTTACTTGAAAATAAAGCATTTTTATACAGCAGAGTCAAATAGCAAGTACAAAAAGATACAGAATGGTTACTGGAAACCAGTCAAATCAGTAATGAATCTTACATATAATATGCATACCTGTATTCTGTCTCTGAGTTTCTCCATCAGAATGGACTCAGGGAATCCATTTGGCATTTTTTCTGTCTTTCCACTGACTTCTGGGAAATTTATCTACCAAAATAATGTCATAAATTACAAAAACTTTACTATATACCTTTAGTTTTAAAGCATTTCACAATAATCAGAACAAAAATTGGCTTAAAAAAATAAGAAATATGTAACTTGTGTTGATTTCTAGACAGATTTAATTTCATTTATTCTTTTCAAACAATGAAACATATAATTGAAGACAGCTAGCAATTAAAATTCTAACCTTTTTGAGCAGGTTGTCTAGATTGTCTAGGATGGTTCCGGGCTGAACACTGGCTTGTTCCCAGGTGGTTTCCTTGAAGGTGACAAACTCACACTCCTCACAGGAGTATTTACACATCAGTCCCATCAGTAGAGCCACCTCCAACATCTGTGTTAGGAACAAAGTATATTACTGTATATGTGTGTGATCAAATAGTAAGTCGGTAAAACCTTCTTAAATTGTACACTTCTGTTGAACTTTGTTATCTAGAATATCAATAACTCGAATACCAGTGATATGTTAATGTGATTTTGAAGTCTCAACAACTTATTCTTTAAATATTTTAGCACCGGTATTTCAAATTTTCGGATATCTCGAAGTATTTCCTCGGTCACATCCAGTTCCAGATAATGATATTTTACTGTATATTGAAATTCAAAATTACATATAATGTATAGGAATTAAATAAAGCATGGATGGCAAATACAGCCACAAACTTAGGCCTTTTTTTACCTGTCTAGGTTTTCCCAGGCCCCTGGCCGCGGTGCAGTTGACTCTCATTCTATCGCTGCAGTCAGACAGTACTATGGTTCGGCCCCTAATTGGCTGTACATTGTAGACTGTGGCTATCTTGACTGCGGTGTCCAGAGCTTTCTTGTAACGATTGATGATTGCCTTGTCAAAGGCTGTCTCTCTGTTAATTAAAGCAACCCCTCAACACTTAAAGATACGGTTATATTATTATGAAAGAATAATCTTTAATAAATTTTTTTATAAACTTTACTTATCAAACTAAATAACCCACTTCAATGACTGCTTAGAGTAACATGAATTAGAATTATTTATGTGGAATATTACTTCGGTTTCTTTTTTTCTTCCTTTTGTTTATTTTTTTTCTCGATCCACCAGTTATCTCCCTTTCCCCCACGCCCTCGGCCCCGCCCCCTTCCTCTTCCTCCCCTGGGGGCGACCTGAGACCTAGAGATACCAGAGGCTTCCATCTCAGCCAACTCCACAAGCTTCTTCTCTAAAATCAGAAATCAACATCAGCTATTTTACACCTAATAATATTCACTCATGTCAATTCAAGCATAATAATCATTCATATAAACACAATCAAGAAGGGAATCGCAGTTGAAACTTTAGGGATGAATTTTAAAATGATCTGATCGCAACTTCCTGAACTTTTTCTACTGCATTTTATACATTTTAGTTTATAAATTAATTTTAGTATTTCTTTTTGAAGTAGTTAATTAACATTTACACTTTGATGCTAAATTTACATATAATGAATAATGTACATGTATAAGGCAAAAGCATTTTATTTACTAACCTATGCAAAGTTTCAAAAAATTGCCTACAAAAATCCAGATAAAACATTCAGTACATAATGGGTAATCAGAATGTTTTATACTTACGAGTTGTTTCATATTCTTTTTCAAGTCCACTTAGAACTTCATAGGCAGAAAAGAACCGGAAGGGAAACTGCTTACTATTGGCAACTTGTCTCTGTATTAAAAAAAAGTATATAAATAGACACAGTACACAGAATACAAAAACACCCAATGTGTCATAAATGTGTTGCTTTTTTTCAATATTTGAAAAAAAAATGCAAGACCTTACATCAGAAAATCATAATTTTTTTTTTTTTGAGTCATTCTAGTGTTTATGAATTGTTTTGACCTTGACCTCAGAATACAGATTAAATCTTGAAAGTTTTTCTCTCCCTGTAGGCAGCATATCTGGCATAGTTTTAATATCAGAACACATACAGATATTTTCCATAATATACATTCTCTTCAAACACAATGGTTTTGAAGTTTTGTCCTACATATACCAGATGAATTTCAATATAGTTTTGCTACCTTAGGCATATTTGTTTTGACCTTAACATTGACTTAGTAACTCTAAAATTGACAGGTTCAATTTTTAAAAACCCACACATCCTGACATTTCAAGTTATATCAATACCCAAGTTCAACAAGTGGTCACTGTGGTGTGATGTTGCTGTCTAAAAATTTTTCTCCATTACATGTATAAAATTTTAAAGAAAAATTTATTTATTATTTTCCAAATTTTCTTTCAAGAAGAGATGTTTCCTCTATTTTCCACTAGAAGCATTCAGAATTCCAAAAAAAAAAAAAAAAATTATGCCATTCCCACTTTGGCTTGATTTCTGAAACCACAACATAATACATTGTACACATTATACCTAATAGTGACTTTGGCTTGATGTCTGATACAGTAACATAATTTATACCTCATCAGTGAGTCGACGCAGAACCTGTTGATGATGTTTCTGGGAAATACCAGCTTTGATCAGATTCCTTAAGTTCCTCAACATAGCCATGAATGGCAGCTTTTTGTGATCTGTTACATAAAAAAATTGTTTAGTGAAATGTGAAACATGTATTTTTCACTACAAATAATGTGTAACAAAGAGAAATGAAACTGTTCATCAGGATAATAACTAAGTAATGATATCAGAATCAAGAATAAAAATTGACCAGTGAGATCATTGGTTAGGATAATAACTGACCAATAGAATTAGAAGTAATGATAACAACAGACCAGTGAAATCAATAGCTGAAACAATAACTGACCAATGAGGTCCTCCCAAGTAGAGGCTTTGTTCCCTTTGAGGGACACCTGTGTTTCCCATGTCTCAGGGACAGGAAGCTTCATCCTCTTCCCTGCCCGATCCTGATCCCATTCCCCCGGGAGTCGGGATTTGTAAAATGCCTCTAGCGTGTCGGGATACCTATAATAAAGGGCAAGTTTAAAAAATCTGAAAACTACTAATTGTCAAATAGTTTATTTTTCAAATTTGGATTCAAAGAACACAAACAATCTTTTTAATTAGTAATTTTTGAAATTCTATTTGATTTGCAATACCTGAGATTGGAAATAGAAAATTTTGCAATTTTCTTCCTTGCGGTTTGACCAAACAACAAATTTTGTAATACCTACACATTCTTAGAAATTACTGATAAGAAGGTACCCTTTTTTTGAATTGAAAGTTAAATTACACGTAGATGCCAAGTACTTTTATAAGAAATACTAACTTTTTTCCAATTATAGACATGACATGGTCCACTGGTTCGATGATGTGAAGTTTACGGATCAGTTGTTTTATGGAGAATTTGATTTTCTCCATTTCCTCCTGTGTGTGATCTTCTTCATCATACACCACATCACTCAGCTGTTAAAATAATTCTACAATCTTAGAAAAATATGGAGCCTGAGTCTTGAAATCTCTTTCATACTTCTAACACTCTGAATGATATACACCAATGTATAGAATACCAGTGATAGGTTGAAGTCGTTGGCAGTCCCAATGACTTTTTCAAAAAGTTTTTGAACCTTACTATCTTGAATTTTCCAATTTCTTAAAATTTATTCTGGTCCAGTCAAGATTAACATGACAAGATTGTACTGTATATGCCTACTTTGGAATATCTAACCTGACGATGGATGTTTTCTTCCTCATCACTTTCCTCATCGCTATCGGAATCCCAGTTGCCTCTCTGATTGGTTGACACATTTCTGGCATCTCGACCTCTCATTGCACCTCCTCGACCTCTGACCCCACCTCGACCTCCACGTCCTCTGACCCCAGCATGCCCTCCACGACCCCTGACTGATTCAGTTTCCTTCTTTTCTTTTTTCTTCTTTTTCTTCATTGAGCTTTCCTTGTTATATTTTGCTACAATATTGTAACAAACACAGGTTTATTGTTGTGTTTTTTTAATTACATCATTTGTTCTGGATTTTCTGTTTATGCATTATTTGGCCATTACTCTATTTTCATGCATTTCAGATTCATAAAAGAGTGTATATGTTACTGGAATTCTTTTGAGTATACAGTAAAGCATGCAAATAGGGAAGTCCCAGATATGATCAATGATTTATTATAATTTTAATTATTATAACTGATATGTTTTAGAACTACAGGGAAGGAAAACTGTTTTGTTTAAATTTTTTATTCAATATATATGCAAGAATTTCCTGTACTTGAATATTTCACTTTTGAATAAAAAAATAAATACAGAAGATGTCGTACCTAACTGATACTGGTCAAACTCAGGGAACTTCATGATCATGGCTTTACGCAGGGCTGCTGGCAGAGAGCCATGGGACAAATTGGTGTCATGGAACGCCTGCCAGAAAACAGATAATCATATTATCATTAAAAGTAATTAATCTTAACAAAAAAAATAACATTCAAATACATGTATGAAAAAGATGTGTCAGACACTTCTATCCTAATAGAATACAACATTGCCTCTCTATCCTGACTGGATACAACATTGTTACCTTTATTCTAATAGGATACATTATTGCCACCTCTATTCTGACTGGATACAACACATTGCCACCTCTATCCAGATATACCTTACAAATCTCCCTTTGCTAAATACAATATTGTCACCTCTATTCTGGATACAATATTGCAACCTTTATCCTAATTGGATACTATAATTCCACCTCTATCCTATCTGAATATAAAAATGTCACTTCTGTCAAACTACACTCACCTGATAAATCTCTGCCACCTCTATCCAGTCAGAGGGCAACTGGATGGAAGCACAGTAGTACTTTTTTAGATATGGTCGACAGACCTCTACATTGGAGCAGAGAGCCAGAAGGAAGTTTGCTGTAGTTCTGATGTTTAACTCCTTTCTTGTGTACAAAGCAACCTATAAATACACAGACATAATATGAGATTTCTTTTTCTACAAGATAATATGCACAAATCCAACCTATAAAATAATTATGATTTTATCAAATTTCTAAAATGAAGGTAAAAAAGATAAATTGATGTACAAGCAATTCATTCTAAGAAGTACTCCTCTAAAAATTAGATATTTTCAAAATGTACCTTAAGAATGAACTCTGGGTCATAGGTCACGACCCTCTCTGACATCTCAGACAGGGCTCTCCTGGTCAGGTCGTTGCTCTTGGAGAAGTCTGGCTGACAAATCAAGGATCCACTTACAGCATTGATAAGAGCCAGCTATAGAGAAATAGTAAAAATCAGGTATAGTAAACACAGGTAAACTATATAACTGGCTGCAACTGCTAAACTTCATTTAAAGAATCTTTTTTTGAGCTGTCATTCATTGGTTGCATTTTCTATACGTTATTTTTCTAACCTTTAAGCCGTTGACATCATGCAGTGGGATAGCTGGTCTGTTCAGACTGGGATCCTTGCTTGGATTTACAAACTTTGGCACCTCTACTCCCTTTTCTTCTGGAATTACCTTCCTAAGGTCATAACGAGGGGCCTTAGCCTTGTATTTATCAAATTCTAGTCTATCATCTGCCGCTCGTTTCTTTGACTTCTGTTTGGCTTGTGACTGACCTGATTTCTCTTTGGTGCCTTTAGGTTTTGAGTCAGAAAGTCCTGTTGGCAGCTTACTCGGGGTCATTAAAAAGCTGGACTGTAGAGATACTCCTCCTACTGGTTGCTGATTGGTCAGAACTGAGGCATGTGACAAGACAGACACTTTCTGATTGGTTAAGGAGGTATCCTGCCCTTGCAGGGACCTACCAGCACTTAATGTGGATGATAGGGCTGAGGTAGTGTACCCAGACAGAAGACTGGTTGCAGCTGTATTTCCTAGAAGAGAACCACTCAAGGGTCTTGATTGTGGGGTAACATGGCTGCTCCTGGTCTGAGTCTTACAACTCAGTGAGGAGGGTGGAGGGGTCTTAGAACTCAGTGTAGATGAGCCCAGAAGAGAGCTCTTCAGACTACCACTCGTTAAAAGAGAAGATCCTAGCAAAGAACTTTTGAGATGAGGTTTTTCAACTAATGGTTTCTTGTCTTCGATGGAAGATTTGGTGGTGAGTGGTTTTCTCTTTCTGGTAGTGGATAAACTAGATCCCACTTGGGGTCCAGCTGAAAGCTTGCTTTCAAAACCTGAACTTTTCCCACCTGATACATTGCTCTGTAACCCTGTGCTTATTAAGCTAGATTTTATACCTGCAAAAGAAAATTTATTCCACATTAGGAGAGCAGAACATACCCTAAATTATTGGCTAGCTGCTTCACTTTTACGCATGTAAAATACACGTATATTCTGGTAAGCCTATATGCACTGTAAATTGTATAAATTTTTTTTAAAACAGATTTTGAGTGAGTAATCCTTCTTGATTTTTTCTTTAATTCCTGCATTCTTTGTTACAATTAGTGGTTTTCATCCTCCAGATCCATTACTCATTTCTAACACAATTTTATTTTTCAATTATTACTAATATTTCTGAATGTGTACTTTTATTTACAAAAGTAAGAAACTTTTTTTATGGTCTGTCTTCAAGAACACTTGAATAGCTCAAAGGAACCTAAAATTAGCCCAAGATATGACAATTGTTTATAGGGAGTTTTGACACTTATATGTAATACTAGTATATGAACTTTAACATGATGATTTTTAGCCGGGCTTATTGCTCAAAGAGCAATTGCCGGCTTATGTGATCCTGTTCAAGACAGGATGTTAACCCCATAATCGCCATTTTAAAGTTACGTGTAAAAATATAGTTCTTACTCTCAACCACTTTTGAGATAATACAAACGCTAAATAAAGCAACAAAAATAAAACGAAGTTTTATCTAAATAAATAAATAAACATATTTAGTACCTTTGAAAACTTCAGTCTTAAGTCAAAGAACATAGTTCATTGGTGTAAGGAGTTTTGATAATCAGTGTTACATGTGTCTTAGTTCTCTACACATACGAAGAAAAGCAGGAGAGGGAACCAGACTGGCCTGTTTGTTTATTTTCAGTTGCGGTACCAGATTAATTCTGATTCTGACAAAATCGGACCGTGGTATTATGATAGAAACTCACTGTCAGTGTCTTATCATTTATATTGATAGATTTAAAAATTTTATTCATCAGAATTTTAAATCTGATATTCTTTTTTTTAATCTGTTAACATGGTTAATACAATATAAACGTATGGTTCATGTAAGAAATTCATAATGATTCTACTCTGTAAATGAGCCCGGCTCTCTGTACTTCTGAGTACTTTGATTTCTTACCAGTGTCTTTCAGTGACCACTTGGACAAAAGTGACTTCCCTGATGTATCCATGCTTCAGAACTTAGAGTCCTCACTCCAATTGAAATCTCTAAAGAACTGATCAATAACTGTAGATGCTGCAAAAAAATAAAACCGTTACTTTTTAGAGAGAACAATATACTGCAGACTGAGATACTAAACATGCTAAAACTAAAAATTTTATCCACATGATATTGGGATTAGCCACTATCTACATGTAAATGGGCCACAATGCTCACCTGAGTTGCTTTGGAACTTGTTGTTCTGCAATAGAAATTCCTAAATTCAAAATTTTGATTGCTTTTTGTGGCTCCATCCCATAACAGAGCTAAGTTTTAAACAAAAATTGAATCTTCACTTTCAGAGGATGCTTATTCACATTAACATGTTCATCATGACTTTGCTTTTCTTGAGAAAAGGAGTTTTAAAGATTTTTCCCAAATTAGTCCTATTATGGCCCCATCCATGGGGACATGCTCTGGAAAATTTACAATCTACACTACCCTTGTAAATGTTAACTCCCAGCAGACCATGAATTGAAGAATTTACAATATATAATGCCTCAGAAGTCTTCACATAAGTTTCATCTCTTCTGTTCCAGTGGTTCTTGAGTAAAATATCTTTAAATTAGGATTTTCCTTCATATTTTATTGCAATTAAATTTTTTATTGTGGCCCTACGTACCCTACCCATGGAGGGCGTAAATTAAACAATTTACAATCCACACTTTCAAACATAAGTTTTAGCTTTTTAGACTGGCGGTTTTTAAAATTTTTCTAAAAAGAAGTTGAAAATATAAAAAGTTTATAGACGGATGGGGTTGGACAGACGGACACCTGCATACAATTAGTGATCATCAGAAACTAAATCTAGCTCAGGACAGGTGAGCTATAAATGTTATATTTCCTCATAATGTTCACATGGTGCAATAATGTGAAATCTGTAAACCATGTTGACAGTCATAGTTATTTTAATCACAACATGCTGAAACAGGAAAATATTACTTTGAAAAGCATTTCACTTTTCCTGCTAGAGGACAGGGTTACATTTTTCTCTTATCATGACGATACTCAGAAATAAATAACAAACTTAAATCACTACATGGCTAACGTCTTCAGTAAAGTCTGAAATGAGTATGTTAAATCTTTTCCCTGTGTGTATTGCATTCAACAACATGCAGCTTTTACATGCTGCAGCTGTGCTGGTAGACCTATTTGCATTATTGCCTACTTGAACAGAATATGTACATTGTAAATGAATAAATGCAGAACGTTAAAGAAAATATTTACCAGTGTTTTCACATCTTCACATTCGAGACAGGCGAGTTGATCGAGTCATAAACGGAATACTTTTACAGTTTACTCAAAATGTTGCAATACTTCCGGTACAAATTCTACTTTTATTTTCATTTTTCGCTTCGTATCAGAGAGCAAACTAATTATCACACAAATATTTACTCAAAATAATCTTCTTTTTTACTGTTATTGTTGTGATCAATACATTATTTAATCATATTGTGTTTTAAATAAGTTTATATTATGAAAAAAATGGATAAGTAGTTTTCAATCTTTATAATTTATTATTCTACTTTCACTTTCCAGGCGGAAATTGGCTTGTTACTAACGACAACAAAGCGGATTTCCACTTTGACCCGTGAGCATTGAAGCGGAGACAAGACAGTTTCATGGGCGAGTTTGCAATCGGAAGTTCTTATGAATGGTGTATAGGAGTTTGATTTAGCATTTATTGACATACAATTATTTTTTTTTCACTTGACAAATGTACAATTTCAATAAGAAATGGAAACTATAACATTTAGGCGACAACTGAACGGGTTAACACGCGTGGACATGGAAGAATATTTCGATGATGTCGAATTAGAAAATTTATACCAATGGATTGATAGAATTCCATTATCGAGGCCTAAAAAGAACATTGGGAAAGATTTTTCCGATGGAGGTAATGGATTAGCTCAATTATTGCAATTTGATTTCATACTCATTATATGTGGAGGCATGCCAGGTTAACTTAGGATTTATACCTGGTGCATTCTGCATTTGATCCATTGCCAATGTAATGTAAACTTTCCAGATAAATTACTTTCTTTAAATATTGCTAAGTTCAGTCTTAATGTAGAAAACTGAAATTGGGTATAGCATTAAATATATCTATATACTTTTCTTTTTTAATTTACAGAATACACTGAAAACTGAAAATTAATTCTCACAAAAAGTTAAACATTTATAATGTAAAGAATTATTTGATTGATTTAGGGCCTAATAGCCAAATTGTAAAGAACTGCATTTATGACACCCTGGAAACTAAAGGATTTTAGAACTTCATGTTTAATTGCAATAAAAATAATGTCAGAGCTGAAGAAAAATGACGGTCGTTGCACCCTTAGATTAAATTTTCCAATACCATTTTTTCAACAATATTTATAATATATCGAAATTCACTATAATCATTCATAATCCCAGGAATAAATCAGGCAGCTTATCCCAAGAATTTGGCAAGCAATAGTATTTACCAGTCAAGTTTCTAATTCTTGGTCTTTAAACTTTATCTGTAAGCAAAATATACTTTTTTTTTTTTTTTAAAAAAGAATTTAAAAAATATAGTACCAGTAAGAACTGGCTGCATAAATCATAATATTTCTATATTTTAAACAAAGTAAAGTTATATGTTCTTTAAAGTTTTGGAGAGCTTAACCAAAACCATGAGGAAAAATTAATTATTAGCTAGATCATTGTGGAACAGATATATGCATGCTGATAATAAAAAAATACATCAAGGGAATACTACAAAGTGGGACATCCCTGGCAAAAAGGCACATAGATCCCGATGTGAATTATTATTTGTGCAATGGAAATTACACACTCTCTCAATCACCTACACTTACATAATGCGTGTTACGTAGGTATTCCCTCCATTTTCATCGCAATTGAATAATAACTAGTTAATGAAATGTGCCTTTTCTGTAGATAAGTAAGTCATTTAAGTTCAGTATGTATCATCAAACCTGTGATTAACAAATCAAAGTGTAAGCCAGGGGTATTGAAAAGGCTCTATCTTAGAATCAAAGATTAGTTACTAGACCAATATTTTTCACATTAATTTATTGACACAATGTTGATAAATGGCAGACTTGAAAACTGTTCTGGTGGTTTTCACCGAAGTCTACTCAATAATGTATTGTTAACCTATCACCATTCCAAACAGAAGAAAGTTCTATGTAAATAGATTTCATGATTATCCATATTTTATAATTGGGTTTGAAATCAAACAAGACATGGAACACTGTAAAAATCAATAGAAAACCTTTATTGTTGAACATGTCATTTTTTCTGTAACAATCATTAGAAAATTGAAAAACAAATTTAAAAAAAGCATATTACACAAAAGGTTTTCATTACATATTTCTTTTTATAGTTAACTATATGATAACAGTTTCAGACTAACTCTTAATAGCAGCATTCCTCTGAAGTTATGTTAATTTCTTGCTTATATTGATTAATTTCCTATATTTAGTTGACCCATTTGATTTGATTACTTCCTCTGATTGGTGACATTTGGTGTGGACATTTTTGTCGCCAATCAGTACATGACATTCAATATTAATAAAACCAATCCTAAAGTATTACAATTTACAGGAAGTCAAAAGTCAAAGTCCTCTCATAGATTTTTTTAGGAGGGCAATAAAAATTTTTACTTTTACATTATAATGTGTTTTACAGTAGACCTGTTTTGATTCCTAGAAATGATAAATTATTTATAATGCACCTCTGTTTTAATAAAAAAAAAAAAAGCAATATTTTTTTCTCTTTCCATCATTAAATGGTAGTATTTCATTCATAATGAAACATCTAATTGTCAGTGAAAACTGCAAATTTAATGACAACATGCATGTATAGTACAGTGAGGATCACTGTTCTTCACTCTTTGGACATATTGTCTGATATTGAACTTCTGTTAAATTCATCTTATCCAATGGACCAAGTACTATTTCTAATTCCATCAATATTTATGAGATATTTTTTATTTAAAGTTTTATATTGAAAAATATATAAAAATATAATGTAGAAGTATAATAATTTGCATGCCCCAAGTATTCTTTATAAAGATAAATTAATGCATACATTAATATATCTACCATGTTATATTTCACTTCATTAAATACACGTAGTATTAATATTGTTTTATTTATTAAATGGCTTTCCATTAACATTTGAGGTATTGGATCATTATGGACCTCATTTATTCTTAATTATTTTGCTGAAACATTTCAAATTGAATCTATTTTTAAGGTTCCGTGGGTGTTTTTCTTTTCTGTCATATAATATGATATCGATAGATATCCAAACTGTTCGTATTTAATATTGCCACAGACTGAATTGCAAGGGAAATATTTGGGCAGGCCATATTTGCCTTTCAGACCCAGCCATCTTAACAGCCTTACCTAATTTCACTTGGGTTGCTTACAGTTTAAATACAAGGCCTTTGTCACTTAAACCACTTCTGTTTTAGACCCTGTATTGGGTAGAAAAGTTTTTATGTAAACGAGAGTTAAATGTCTTAGTTACAATGTTTGAGATAATGAGACAGCTAAATTGTTTGATTTTCTGATTAGCTTTGGAATAGTTTGTTGTTAAGGAAAATAAACACCTTTTTCTGAGATACCTCTCCATATCTCCCCTAAACAATTTTAAATAAGTAGTAAAGCTAATCAGTGACCATCTCAATCCCTCCCCTTCACTCTACATGCACAAAATTGAAACAAATTTTTAACAATACGATAATCCTGCACCAGCATTAAGCTTATTAAATGGACACCCCTTTTCCAAGCTTACAGTAATAGGCAGGTGAAGCATATGTACAAAGAGAATCTGGTTGAAAGATACTGTAAACCAACTTTTATTTGCGTGCAAGAAATTTTCGCGAAGTTCGCGAGAGCCTTGTCATCGCAAATATATCTCGCCGCAAACCGATCGCCTTAAAGTGTATTTGTCTATTAACAACAGATACAACAGAGGCTTGATTGTGAAAATTAATCATCGTGAACTACTTTATCCCTGGTAAATCGCAAAAAAAAAGTCATCACGAAATAAAAGTATGATTACAGTACCCCGGTCATGTAAAAAAAAAAAGGAGAAAACTCTAAAACTAAAGACTAGGTGAATTCAAATTAAAAGTGCTAGGCGCTATTTTTGTTTCGTTTTGTAGATTCCTTGTCTCATACGTATAGTCAGCACTTTAGACCTGAATTTGTAGATTTGCCCAAAGTAATTATTTGATATTTTTAAAGGGAGGGGATGATCTGTAGATATCCAATTTCTGCCCTCTCTAAATTATTTGTACTCAATATATGTAATTACATGTATGTATAGGTAAAACTTTATGAACTGTGTTGTGTATATTTTACATTGTAAAACTATTATCTGATGATAAAACCTTGCCTGTGTTATGTTAAGAGCATTCAGTACATGCTTGAGAACAACATGTACATTATTTATAGCCTGAAAGTTCAATACTAATGACATAAGAGGAAAATAATGGGTAAAACTTAAAAAAAAAACTTAAATTTACATATTTACGTACATACATTATCTACTGAGAATCCATTGTTTAACTTAAATGAAATTTGTGTTGTTATTGATTTGAACATTATCCACAAAGTAGCAGCAAAAAACTAAAGGCAGAATCAATATTTACATTGTTAATTTGAGATCAATTTTAGTTATTCACCTATAAGTATTATTGGACCCCTGAAAATCATTACCTTTTAAGTCATTGAATTTTAATAAAAGCTGATGTGTTTCCTGACAAAAATGTCAGTGAAGCAAGAAATAAACTTTTGCTAATCATACCACCACTGTTTTTGTAAAAAAAAATATATTGGACAAATATACAATCCATAAACAGTACATGATAAATTAAATAAGTAACCTAATTTTTCAAACCTTTTGTCTTTAATTTGTTAATTTTCAAGAGACACAAGGCCGATTTAATGGACGATAGATTGTATATGCTCAAAATACAGTTGCAAATAATTTATTACTATTACATTCTGTTTTATTTTCAGTGCTTATAGCAGAAATTATAAACCACTACTTCCCTAAGCTAGTGGAACTCCATAACTACTCACCCGCTGCTGCCACAAAACAGAAGATGGAGAACTGGTATCTACTGAACAGGTAACTATATTTACCTTAAAGGTGTTTAGCTACCTTAACAGGTAACTATCTACTTTAACAGGTAACTATCTACCTTAACAGGTAACTATCTACCTTAACAGGTAACTATCTACCTTAACAGGTGTCTATCTACCTTAAATGGTAACTATCTACCTTAACAGGTAACTATCTACCTTAACAGGTAACTATCTACCTTAACAGGTAACTATCTACTTTAACAGGTAACTATCTACCTTAACAGGTAATTATCTACCTTAACAGGTAACTATCTACTTTAACAGGTGACTATCTACCTTAACAGGTAACTATCTACCTTAACAGGTAACTATCTACCTTAACAGGTAACTATCTACCTTAACAGGTGTCTATCTACCTTAACTGGTAACTATCTACCTTAACAGGTAACTATCTACCTTAACAGGTAACTATCTACTTTAACAGGTAACTATCTACCTTAACAGGTAATTATCTACCTTAACAGGTGACTATCTACCTTAACAGGTAATTATCTACCTTAACAGGTGACTATCTACCTTAACAGGTAACTATCTACCTTAACAGGTGACTATCTACCTTAACAGGTAATTATCTACCTTAACAGATAACTATCTACCTTAACAGATAACTATCTACTTTAACAGGTAACTATCTACTTTAACAGGTAACTATCTACCTTAACAGGTAATTATCTACCTTAACAGGTGACTATCTACCTTAACAGGTAACTATCTACCTTAACAGGTGACTATCTACCTTAACAGGTAATTATCTACCTTAACAGATAACTATCTACCTTAACAGATAACTATCTACTTTAGCAGGTAACTATCTACCTTAACAGATAACTATCTACCTTAACAGGTAACTATCTACTTTAACAGGTAACTATCTACCTTAACAGATAACTATCTACCTTAACAGGTAACTATCTACCTTAACAGATAACTATCTACCTTAACAGGTAACTATCTACTTTAACAGGTAACTATCTACCTTAACAGGTAACTATCTACTGAACAGTTACCTATCTACTGAACAGTTACCTATCTACTGAATGGGTAACTGTTTACTGAACATTTTGTGTGTCTGTCTGTCTGTCCGTAACAAATTTTCATCAGTTTAATTAGCAATTACTCTTCACAGATGCTTGAAATTTTAGCACAGTCTTTGCTAAGGCATGCCATAAGGTGGGATTCATATAAAATACACGGTTACTGTCTTGAAATATAAGTGATATTTGGACGAGGGTAAGAAAGGGTGATAGAGGGCGAGGCTTGCTGAGCCCTCATACGTTTTCAACCCAAGCCAAAGTATATTGCTTATATTTCAAGACAGTTATCATGTATTTTGTTTATCCTGCAACAATATTTTACATTTGAACGTCCAAGACAAGATATTTCTGACAGATTTAGGCACATCTCTGCAGTTGAAACTATGATGCCATGGCGTAAACAATGTAATATACGTGACGTCACAATGCTTTTAGAATGTTGGAATACATGCACGAGGCTTTATCCCGCTTCAGACAAATTTGTTGATTACTGATTGGATAAAAGCCAATCACATGACGCCCTGAAATTTTCCGTATTACGTCTCCATTTTCCATATTACGTCTCCGTCGAGGCGTAATATCAAAATCGGGCACGCGATTCCGTTCGAAGCGTTGTTATTGTAAATAAAAATGGCGGCTAAGAAACGGTTTACGTAGGTAGTTTAGTTAAATTTCTTGTTACCGTAACGATATTTTATGTTGATTGTTATTGGATTAAAACTGAATATTTTCATAATATGCACAAATTTTCTTTTAATATTGAGAAAGGTCTTCAGCGGGATAAATTCGTAACACAGTCAGTTAGTGACCTAATACGGATTCATACAGGGTGTGAAATGGAAATCCGTATTGGGACTCGGCTTCGCCTCGCCCAATACGGATTTCCATTTCACACCCTGTATGAATCCGTATTAGGTCACTAACTGAGTGTGTAACTAATATTACCCCACCTCTGCTGATTTTTCCGTGAAATTCTGGCTTACGATTGGTTGAAGTCTGTCATGTGAAGGCGGTGGATTACTTATACCCGGTCAGTTGTAAATCCATACCCGGTCAGTAAAATCTATACCCGGTCGATGTATTACGTCACAAACACAAACGTGACGTCATAATAGGCACAGTATAAGCGCGATGAAACATTTAGCAGAGAAAACCATTTATAAAGTACAGATAAAACGTAAATGTTTCATCGGTGGGGTAAATTCGTTACATAGTCATTTAGTGACAGGGTATGGGATGATACCTGGTCAGTAAATTTCATACCTGACTCGGCTCCGCCTCGCCAGGTATGAAATTTACTAACCAGGTATCATCCCATACCCCGTCACTAAAAGACTATGTAACTAATATTATTAGGGCAGTGACCGAATAAAGCTTTGGTTTATTAATTAAGTTACCTTTATTAGGTCAATGCAAGGGGTAGTTGCAGGATAAATTTTCATACTTATCCAATGACAACTTTCTATTATCTGTGCATCTGTCCCTTCCAATATGAACATTTATTTCAAAGTTACATAGTAATAAATACAGGATTTTCGCATATGCGATATGCCTGATTTCACAATAGCCGTATTAGCCCTGCAGGGCTGATATGGATTTGGATGACTGATACGGATCAATATCACACCCCTAGTAAATTAAACCTAAAAAGAACAGTAATTGTGATCATAAACATATTTTTGGGGGTACATATTCTCTTAATTTTAACATTTTGAATGTAAGGATAATCTCATTGACAAATAAAAGATAATTTTCAAATTACGGATCAGGCTCATTTGAAATAGAATTAGAAACAAACCCAAACCGTTTGAGACAATAAACTGTGTACATGTAAAAGGTTTGTGCATTATTATATACTGTACTTATTTTCTTCTCAACTTAATTGTGTACTGTATTTCATTACTAAGTATGTAATAAACATAATAAAACATACCCTTTTCCACATCACATCCTGTATTAGCCCTCGACCAATATCAGCCCTTGGGCCTTTTGCCCTCTTGCTGATAATGGTGTCTCGGACTGATACAGGATGTGATATGGAAAAGGGCATGTATTATTCTCTATATATTCACATTACATCAGAGAGGGGGTATTACTAAAGAGCATATGTTCACTGATTTCTTGTTTTTTTTTATTTTAAAGGCGAGTGTTACGGAAGCTTGACCTTGACCTATCAGATGAGGTCATTCGAGCTCTGGCAAACTGCAAGCCTAAAGTGGTAGAGAAAGTGCTGATGCTCCTACGACTTCAGATAGACAAGAATCTGCAGAGACAAGGTAGGAGCCGCATGGAAATTGATGCCAACTTCGCCCAGAGTATGGATCAAAAAGAACAAAAAAAATCCCAATCTGCCCCTGCTGCCGAAAATAGTCGTAAGTCTTGTGTATCCATGTGTGGTCCCTGCCCCAGCACTTTACAACAGGCATCAGGTCAAATCCTCTGGTTTGTACACATACTAAACAATGTCATTCACTGCATTTAAACAAAATCAGTGATAATTTTGTTAGTATCCTTTATAATTATAAGGTGTAATGGTAACAGTAAGAACAGTATTTATAGAGGAAACAGCCATGTGATATTCCAAATTCTGTTCAAATTCAAAGATGAAAAAAGCAGTTGATAGCTTTCTTAGACATTATTTCAGCTTGTTTTTGTGTTAAGTCTTTTTATTTAATTTCATACACCTGAATTGACCCTGATGTCTGCTGGCACTATTTGTGTGGGCCCTCACATTTTCTGTTGTATTCCGGATCTTTGGACTCTTCACAGCTTATCACTTCACTGCTAAAAATTTAGTTCTTGATCCAATCTCCTGAACATTTAAGGATCTGGTAAAATGGAACTGAGCAGTATTTCTGATGTATATTCAAATGCATATTACTAATTCTCCAACTTTTAACAATCACATTGAATTCTGAGGTTTGTGGGTATCTTTTCTTTTGTTCTTTTAGCTAGAAGATTTTTTATGGGCAATTTCTTAACCATTGTTTAACTGCATATCAAATATTTTCAAAGACATTAATTAAGATGATATGAACTGAAAAATAATTAGTTGTCTTTCCAAAAGATTTGCATCATAAGGAAATTGAGACTTTATGTATGTAACCTGTATTATATTAAGAGATAAATTGGTTGCTCTAAGATTTCCAAACTGTTTTATCTAAAAAAAAAAAAAGAAGACCCTAAACGACTACTTTTTCTATCAATTAATCAAAGGTCTGTCCACTTATGCTTATAAACTGATGTTTTGTAGTTAGATGAGTTAGTTGGGGGTGGGGGGACCATTATGATATCGTAAACATTACAAAAAAATCCCTTATTAGTTATTTTTCAAGCTCTCTGTCACTTTGACTTTATATCTCACAATTTTGTGTGTTGTAAAAATGTTTATACTTTACATGTATCATTAAACGTAAATGGTACAAACTTTAAAAAATTTCTTGTCCTTAGAATGAATGGCTTATTAAATTCAAAGGGAAAAAATTCCTTACATAGATGAAATTTCAATGAAATTTTCCTTCGACTAGAAATAAAAGCTTATAAGTAAAGCTATAATACCAAAAACGTTCATAATTTTAAAGTTTGAATTATAACTGTATGACAGAACCTAAACCTGGCTTACCAGTGGAACTTGGAACAGTTTTTTTTTTTAACTTTCTAGTTCAATAGATTAAAAAAAAAATCATCTCTCGCAACATTGATTCAAATCCTGAAATAAAAAATTCAGAAATTAAAAAAGGTAATATCGTGTTTTTGGCTTCATTTGACAAAAGCAATTTGGAGAAAAACTCTGAAGTAATGAGAACAAATAATCATTTATAATGTATGAGTGTTGTATCCTTAGAAATTGCATAAGACTCTCATGTTAAGACACATATTATACTCTAGCTGTTACAAGTAAAGTCACTCAGTGGATCATGCATTATTGTAAAAATCTTGTCACAATTCTCAATCTTGGTTATAATATAACCAAGATTGAGAATTGTGACAAGATTTTTACAATAATGCATGATCCACTGAGTGACTAATTACTTGTAACAGAGTATATGTGTCTTAACATGAGAGTCTTATGCAATTTCTAAGGATACAACACTCATACATTATAAATGATTTTTTTTTTTAGCTTTGTTATTTCTGAATTACGCTATAAAAGCTGCTAAATTGTTGTAAATTCTGAATATGCTATTAAAATGTGACTCTTGGAATATTAATTTACATAAGTCAAGAAATTGACTTCTCTCATAATATAAAATATAATTTGAAAAGGCCTGAGTCTATTATTGGATCATTTCATACCGGTAAATATTTTTTTTCACACATGTTATAATTGTTATATAAAAATAAACAAAAAGGTCCACTGTTAAGTGAAATCAAGCAGTTCGTTCTTTAGTAAAAGCAGATAACTTCTGTTGGGCTGAAGGCTTATTATATTTTACAGGGATTATTATAATCCCCTAAATAGAAATACAATGGCTACTTCTTTCAAAATGTGGGGGTTTAAAGTACTTGTGGATTAAATAAAACCTATAATACCCAGAGACTTCTATCTGGTATGGTTCCACTTCTTAGGGGGTCAAATATGACCTCAATTCTCCAATTTAGTAGTAAAATCAATAAACTGTTTGATTTTATGTTAAATACCCTAACAGCATAAATGTCCAGTAATTATTACATCCTTTGTATCCATAATCAAATAGTAACAGAAGGTGACAGGTTGTTCTATCTTGATATTTAGTTGTTACACAAGTAGCTGCGGAACTGTAGCTCTTCAGAACAGAGCATACAGACAGACAGACAGACAACCAGAGAAGAGGCAAAGAGACAAATCTACTAACAGATTGCTGGTGTGTCTGTCTGTATGTTCTGTTCTAAAGAATTATAGCTCTGTAGCTATTACAGTATAGGTCCAAGATGTAGCATCACAGAATACCTGTTGTTAGAGTCATCATTGATTCAGACCACATTGATCAAAAAACCTTGTTATTGTTTCTTATGATGATTTCATATTTTATCAAGAAACCTCTGAGATATTGCATACAAGTATAAAAAAATTGTATAGCTGTTCCATTGTTGATGAAAGACGTGCTATAATACACGCAACCAGGAGATGTATCAAAGTCTTTGGTTTTTAAATTCTAAACAATTACTCAGTGACCACATTTCTTATGATGGTCACTTTGCCTTTAATGGTTTTAAATTAATCCCAGCTAAGATTTACTGTTCTTTTATTGGTAACCCTACAGATTAAGGGCTAGAATATAGCTTTCTGACAATAGGCAGTAATTTTAGAATTTTTCAATTGGAAACCAGCACTTAGAAAATAGTCAACAATGTTGCCAATGACGTATCACTGAATGGCTTTTGAGTGACAAATTTTTTTTCCAACCAATTAGACGTTGGAAATCATTTACGAGTTGTGAGATTGTAATTGTGGCTTGGCTTTTCTAGTTTTAATGGATTTTAAAAAAGCATGTAATTGAGAAATAATGATGGATTACTCTGGGAGATATAAGCGATATTCCCGAACTGACTCAAAAGACAGTCGTAGTAAACTTAGTTCTAAAGATAGTGGCAATGCTTCACTACCTACAAAACCAGGCTCAATGGAAAGTTACAATACAGCATATACTAACGGCAGTCGAACCTCTCGCAAAGAAAGTGGGGAATTTAATGCAACTTACAGAGGTAACGATTTAAACAGGAGACAGATAGAGAACAATAATGTGACTGGGCAGCAGAGACGAAGTGGTGAACTTAGTGACAAGCCGAGGGAGGCGAGAGACGTTTATCCTAACTATAGGCCCAGTAAAGGGGGTGGAGAATATAACAGCAAGCAAAATGGACAAAACGGCAGTGGTAAACGAGCAACGAAGTCCAAAACTCAGGGAAAACAAACCAAAGAACCCGAATCAGAGAGGGGTAGGGTACCAGTATAATTAAACGAATAAGTCACAAAACACAAGTCAGAACGCTTCATTATCTCAAACTGGACTTCTTAATTGTACAAACAAATCAAACGTTAGTGGATTTCTGTCAAATAAAATCAGGGTCTTATCTGGCAGTTTCAGAATGTTTAATCTCATTTGGTTCATATGAATTCTTCCTCTACATCAGAGATCAATGAATGCTCACAATCTAAAGAAAGTCGAAAAATGTAACTTTTGGGGGAATTTTTTGAAAGGCAGAGGAAAAATGACTATGAATGCTTAGACATGGAAGCTCATACAATTATGAATTTTTGATACTTGTTGTTCCTCTGTTTGAGAATTGAGGATGATAATGCTCTCTGCAGAACTTAAGGACAACTGTCTGTCCTGTAAAACAAAGTGTCAGTCTCTAAAAAAAGGAAAGTAGAACAAAATCCTGAGTGTCAGTTGTAATCCATTATTTGTACACGTTTGTATGATATTGATCTGATGTGTCAGTGTTTAATGTTGTTAACGGTTTTTGCCACACTTATAATGAGACCAAAGGTTTAGCTGCAGTAACCCCCTGTTTCAGGTGCTGAGTTTTGTACGGTAATTGTCTCTCTCCTATTGGCTCTTCATTGATCGTACAATCCACTGGTATTCACATGTTGCTAGGTAAATCAGCATTGTCAACACTCGAAATCCTACATCTGTTATACTGTTTCTTTTTTAAGTAAAAAAAACTGAATGACTGTCAGTTAAAATGATCTGATGACTGTAGGCTATAGAAAAATTTCTTTTTGATAATTGGAAGTTTAAATTTCTCCACTGAAGGCCATGCACTGATAAAGTGTCTAATATAAAGAATACACAGTTTAAATTCCTTGATACTTAAGTCTGCTTAAATAAAGAAATTGACAATTCATTTTCAGAGAGTTACTTAAACAGAAAGTATCTGATTATCTTTATGATTAAAAAACTTTACTTAAATGTGAGAAGGATTTGATAAGCTTTTTTAAATGTCTTGAAGAAATAGCACTTTTAAAAAGTTATAGAAAAGAGATTCATAAATGTTGAAATGAAAAGAATATTAAAAAGTTTTGTTTTGACTTACAAGAGTTGTACAAAGGCTTCTCACTACCTTTGTATTTATATGTGTCGTTCATAAGAATGAAACTTTATTTATATAGACCTTATATAAAACAGGTGCTTGACTGATATTCAGTGACAACATAAGCCCTATATAATTATTCCTTTCCTTTGACTCTATTTATTTTTTGCTTTTTTTCACTTTGCTCTTTTTCGTATATATGAGGTATGTCTAAAAGTCTACATTCATGAAAGCGGCTCATAAGTATTTAACTGCTTTATTGATTTCAAGTTCCTTGCACTGCGCAGAAAACACCTAGCCACTTAACAACCAGTTTAAATTAATTCTCAAACCTTTAATGCATAATTTATCAAGTCTTTATTGAATGTTTTTACTGAAAACAAATTGTTCAATTAAATACAGAGTTAAAGTGCAGAGTTTATTCATATTTAATTTTAATGTTTCTCTTTCTTGCAGAGGCGTTAGTTCCAGTAAAAACAGGAAGGTCTTCACCGGGAAAACTGGCATCTCCCCGTAAACTAGGGAAGGGAGAAATCCCCCACAACCATCCAGACAGATCGTAAGTACAGACCCAACAATCCCAGGGTACAGCAATAAATCAGGGGGGGGGGGGGGGGGGGGAGGGGGTATACAATAGTTCAGAGGCTGAGACAGGTCTATGAAGAGTGTTCCCATGGAAGCTACATGAATGAGGTCAAAGGTCAAGTGAATGAATGCGATATTTTCCACCCTAGTCACCGTAACCATTTTTTCTCCCAGTTTCCTCTCTTTCAGATGATTTTAGAGTATCTTTGTTTTTTAAAGAGAAATTAATAATTCAAGGGCCCTGGAACAAACAATTCAGCTGCAGTCAGAAACTAAGTTTTTTTTAAATTCTAAAAAGCTTTTGGTCAGTCTGTTATATTTATGTTCTCCGAAACATGTTAATATTTTCGTGTGAGAAAAAAGTATAAGATCAAAGAGCAGAAAACTTCATCAACTAATTAAAATGTATATTTTATACATGCAACAGGAAAAAGAGCAGACTATTTTCTAAAATATAAAATCTCAAAGAGAAAAATTCTAGTTACAAGGAATTTTTACTGGAGTAAATATCTTAATGTATAAATTTCTGAGCTAATTATTCAAGGGATATAACTCTGTATTATGTAAATTACATCAGGAAAAAGAAAGTGGAGCCAGTACTTTGGTAAAATTCTGTAGTATTAATACAACACATATAAGATATATATTTAGAGTTTTCCCTTCACAAATGCTTTTTTTCTGCACACCTTTTATTCAATAAAGTTCAATGATGTTAATAAGGATCAATATGTTACTTTACATTCATATTATTTAAAACATTTACTTGATTGCACACTTCTTAATGTTATATAGAAATTAATGAAAAAATTAAGCTGCTTATCATATGATTTGCTATTTAAAATAAGGTCTGTAAAAATAACAACTGTAAATTTAGGTGAAACATAAAAGTGTTAATTTAAAAATTCTTCCCGTGGAATTTTCTGTCTGTTTGATTGGATAATTCTCAGTTTTGAGTTTGATGCTGATATTTATCAAGAGACAGGTGAAATGCCTGAGGGCTACTTTTTTGTGTCACTCTGAAATGGTTTCTGACTTGTTAAGTAGTTTAAGTGTCCTACGTAAATAATAGATTCATTAGCACTAGAACAGTGTGGTACATGAAATTTGAATAAGTACTAGTAAATGTAATTACAAGAATCATTACCTGCTTAACTGGTTTATATTTATTATCACCAAAATAACAAATACTTAGGTCTTTTATTAGCTTACCTATGCTAAAAGTTCTCTTGAGCTTTTTGATCAATGGTTGTCTTGCATCTGTTTGTCTGTCTTCAGTCCTCCTCACATCTTTAGTACCAAAAGAGAGGTCTTGTTTCAAGAAATACACCTATGATATACGAAAGCCCTAGTTCTAACTATTCAAAAGTTATGACCAAGGTTAAAGTTTTTAAAAAGTGGGTCCAACTCTTAGGTCAAGATCAAAAATATTTATAACAGCTGAAAGGTCTTTTCACAATGAATACACATGTGAAGTATGAAAGCCCCAGCTCCAACTGTTCAGAAGTTATGGCCAATGTTAAAGTCTCATATTTTTTGTAAAAGTAAATCAGACTCCAAGGTCAAGAGGTCTAAAATTGGTGGTACCAAAAGAAAGGTCATTCCCCAAGTAATACACCAGTGAAATATGAAAGCCATAGCCCCACCCACTCAATACTTATGGGCTAGGTTAAAGTTGACAACAGACAGAGAGACAAACAGATGAACAGACAAACAGACCAGACAGGACAAAAACAATATACTCCCGGGATCTTTCAATTTCAGGGGCATAAAAATCTTTGAAAATCACAGAATAAGATGAAACTTAGCCAGAAGTATTCTGATGTATTGCAGTTTGTGAATTATTCAGAATATGGTCCCTGAGGAGTAAGGTGGGGCCACGATAGGGAGGATTATGTAGGGAAAACTCCTCTTCTCAAGAACAGCATAGTCATGATAAATTAACACAATATCGAAGCATCCTCTGATTATGTAGATTTATTCTTATTTAGATCTTGACCATCTTTATAAGGTGTATAAGGGTGAGAGGGTGCACAAAAGACAACCAAAATTTTAACATAGGATCACATTTAATTTGGGAAAAAAGATCTGATGCTAAACAGTAGGGCCAAAGTGACTCATGTGGGTGTTGTGGCCCACGGGCCTCTTGTCATTTATAACTTTCTTTTTATTGCTCTACCCTCATCTGGCTCCTTATTACTTTCCAAATCATTAGAACCAACTTTTATGTATATATTACCACACCTAACTAGGAGATATACCTTATTATTTAGGTACAAATTCTCTACGAGGGGTTATCAAAAAGTTCGTGGACTGAGGCTATAAAATTAGTACTATATAGTCTGTGCTTTCAAAATTTATATGTAACATAAAACAACAAAAAATAAAGAAATGTTGAAAATTTTAGCCTGATACGTTCATTATTTGCTAAATTATTATAAAATATAAACTACATTATATGGTCACCCGGCGCTGTCGTCGTTTTTTTTTTATGACGTCCGATAACGTCATTGTTTTTTCAATGTCCGCTTCTTCTACCCCATACACTTTTTTGATGAGATTCCCTGGAGCTGAGTAAGGACTTAAACCTGCCTTGTTTATATGACTTTACAATGTCATGAACAGTGGCCTTCAATGAATATCATATTCCAAATGGAGAAATACATAGGGAGAGATCCGCGCTTGATTGTGCCGCATATTTTGCTTTTGGGAGTTCAATACCTACAACACATGATCAACGTCATTTTTTGACGCGATTGATTTTTCACACCTTGACTGCAAATCGAAATAAACGGTGTATCCCTTTTCCATCTGAATCTATTGTGACATTAAAAGACAAGTACTCTGGATGCATATTATTTCTCTGTAGCCAGTTTCAACCTATTTTAGGTATATACCAGTTTTTTCAGGGGCAAAACTTTATAAAATGTTGAAAACGGAATCCCTCCCCCCTTTTTGACGTCATTTGTTTGGACATTCCGTGAAAATTTACGATAAAATTTCATAGAACATCCAGAATGAAGTGAAAATTTCATATTTTATTGAACAATTATGTCCCTACACATACCTTAATTAACGGGATTTTTGGATGTCAAATGATTATTTCAAAAGAGTTTTTCTCAGTTCCACATAGATCGCAAAAACGTCATGTGCGAGGTAGCGCCGCCTGGACATACCATTGCTCACAAAAACATGACTAATTTATTAAAAAATAAAATCTATGATTTATGGTTTATTCTTTAGATAGAAAAGATGATGCTAACTAGATATTTTAAAATTCATTGATGTGCCTAAAGCGGTTTTAATTTTATGACGCTAGTCCACGAACTTTTTGATAACCCCTCGTATATGTTACTGGACTGGTTATCATTGACAAAACATTTGAATATGTGAATAACAATCAGTGATTGGAGTTACATAAACTGTTTCAGAATTACAGCAATAAGACTGAAATCATATAGTCCTGGGAGATTTGACTTAATGGAGTATCCAAGGTATATCTGTTTGGTGGAAAATGTGGGAGGGGGAGGCTATATAAAAATATTTGGAGGTGTTTGACCATATTGCTGCAGCAGCATCAAAAGGATAAAAACAACTTAATGCAAACATAATTGAAACCAGCACTGCTTTTGACATTAATTGTGCTAAGCAATATGGTGTGATTTTAGGGTAAGGTGAATTTTAAAATTTCCCTGGTTACCATGCAGTATGTAAGTTTAATTTTTTTGTGTTTTTGGGTGAGGGGGACATGTTTAAAACAAAAATTTCAATTTTTAACAATCTTACCAATATAAAACAGTGCTGGTTAAAATTTTTTG